TGTGTGCTGGCGGCGGGGATGGGGCGGGAGGAAGGAGGTGGACAGGCACCCCCGCCAGCAAATGACAGGCGTGCGATGTGAGGCCTGGTCTGCCTGCAGCTGAGTAGAGGGAGTGGAGACACTTGGGCAGAGCAGGTGGTACGGGGTCCTTCGGGAGAGCCCTGGAAGCTGGAGAGGAGAAAACGGCTCTGGGCATCTTGGCTGATTGGAGGAGGGTGCACTGGGGAAATGGTATTTTAGGCAGCATCTGTCCCCATCCTGCACGGGATGGAGGGAGCCTCAGGCAGTGGGCTTCGGGTATCCTGTTCCCACTAACAAAGCTCGTCCCAATTCGGAAATGTTTGCTAGGGGTCATAGCCAGTCCAGCGTGAGTAGCCCAGCCCTGGCAGAGCCGTGGAAGGGAGAGCCAGACTCTCTAAACCTGACCCAACAGTCCTGCAGTTCAGCCAGCCCCTCGTCCCCATGCGCGCGGAGCAGCCCTGCGATTCCCAGTGGCTTCCTTGCGGGGCGGGTCGACAGGAACTTCGTTGGTCTTAATTTAAAGATAGGAATGGATAACTAAAATGGCTACTAAGGAGAAACATACCGAAGTCTGTAGTCTTATCTATGTAGCCTTAATACGATAAGAAATAACATATAAACTGGTGTGATACCTAATGTAGAGGAACGTAGGCTATAAATAACCTCTAAAATGTTCTTTTAGCTGAGATCATTACAGGAAGTGTACAGAAAAAAAATTGCCCATAATTTTCTTACTTGACCTTCAGGATTTTAAAAATGTCATGATTACATTATACATTCAGTTACCATGTCCCCTTGTATTAAAGCATTTTCCATTGAGCTTAGCTGTGTGCTGTACAGTCTTATACACCTTCTACAACACCGTAGAATATCCCATCCCACAGATGGGCTGACATTTGTTTACTCCTTTCTCTATTTTTGAACATTTGTGCAAGTTCCTCCTTTAAGAGACGTTATTGGGACATAAAAGGTATTCTTCCTAGAAAAACCGTGCAGTTCCACGTGGAAATAAAGGGAAGGAAAATTGGGGTGATTCTTGATCTACAGTAATAGCTTCTTCTCGAGACAGGCCTCTAGGTGAGTTTATGATTCTTCACCGTCTCAGACACTCTGACTCTGACAGGTGGACTCTGATACCTGGTGCGGAAGGTGAGAGTGGAATGCCTTTTCAGGGACTATGAAACTGTGTTTCAAAACCACGCATGTTTGTAGGAATTTAGGTGAAGGTAGAAGGAGGCGGGATGATGAGGAACCTAGTCGTGACTGCCTGGTACGTTCTTTTGGCTGAAGGGGGTGTTTCTGTAAGGCTTTGTAGCTCAAGCAACTGCCAGACCGGGGAAGGACCTCAGGATAAGGAGAAATTTGCACCGGTTCACAGAGATTCCACGTATTAGCTCTTGGTGCCTCAGATAAGGCAGCAGAGTGAGAGAACAGCCGCCCGCAGCCTCCCACGCCCACGTCCCTCTGGCCCCAGCTCTCTCCACCTGTGCCCTCGGCCCCAGTCTTCATACCTCACAACCCTTAAACCCTTTCCATAAAGCTACCTGCGCCTTATTTTTTTTATTTCTTTAAAATATTTATTTATTTTGGCTGCGCCAGGTCTTAGTTGCGGCACGCGGGATGTTTGTTGCAGCGTGTGGGCTTCTTAGTTGCAGCATGCATGTGGGATCTAGTTCCCGGACCAGGGATAGAACCCGGGGCCCCCGGAATTGGGAGCATGGAGTCTTACCCACTGGACCATCAGGGAAGTCCCTTATTTTTAAACATTGTGGTAAAATACACAGAACATAACTTTTCCCATCTTCACCATTTCCCTATGCACAGTTCCCTGGCATTAAGTACATTATGTGATGGCACCTGTCACCACTGTCCCTCCATCCGTCTCCAAGACGCTTCATCTTGCAAAACTGGAACTCTCTGCGTTAAACACTGACTCCCCACCCCCTGGAAACCAGCATTCTCCTTTGTGTCTCCGTGATTTTGACTATTGTCTCATGTAAGTGGAATCACACACTAGTTGTCCTTCTGTGTCTGGCTTATTTGACTTCGAATAACGTCTTTAAGTTTCATCCGTGTTGTAAAAGGTGTCAGGATGTCCTTCCTTCTTAAGGCTGAGCCGTATTCCATGGTATGGATGGACCACATGTTGTTTATGCATTTACCTGTCGTCAGTGGACACTTGGGTTGCTTCCCCCTCTTGGCTACTGTGAATGATGCTGCTGTGAACATGGGTGTGCATTCCCCCCTTTTAAAAGATGAAGCCCTATATTTGCTTTTGCGTTTCTTTACTAGGAATCTAAGGTGCTTTCCCACTGTGTAGACTTTCATTAGGATCATCGCTGTTTTGCTAGGGCTCTGTTCCAGAGCCGTGAGGGTCTGAGTAGTCTGCTCAGCCCTGCTCCTCGCGTGAGCCCTGCTGTCTTGGTGCACAGTTTTACAGAACAAGAGGGGTGTTTGTTTGTTTATTCAGAAATACATGTATGTGTCACCTCACAGCAGAGATGCCTGTAGAGTTGGATGACAGTAGCTGGGGTTCAACAGTGCACTGACCACCTTGCAAACTTAACCGAGCCCAGGGTCTTCCTCAGTAACTGCCCCCCAGGGCCCCTGGGGAGCACCTGACCCGAGGCACCAAATCCCGACACCTTGGCCACACACCACAGACATCATCATTTGATGAAGAACCTAGGGGTAAGACAGGAATAAAGACACAGACCTACTAGAGAACGGACTTGAGGATATGGGGAGGGGGAAGGGTGAGCTGTGACAAAGCGAGAGAGAGGCATGGACATATATACACTACCAAACGTAAGGTAGATAGCTAGTGGGAAGCAGCCGCATAGCACAGGGAGATCAACTTGGTGCTTTGTGACCGCCTGGAGGGGTGGGATAGGGAGGGTGGGAGGGAGGGAGACACAAGAGGGAAGAGATATGGGGACATATGTATATGTATAACTGATTCACTGTTATACAGCAGAAACTAACACACCATTGTAAAGCAATTATACTCCAATAAAGATGTAAAAAAAATAAAAAAATAAAAAAAAAGAAGACTGAGCAGAAGCTGGAAACCCGAGAGGGAGCTTGGTCAGAAAGTGGAGAAGCCCTGGGAGCCGTCGTCTTGGGCCCATGACTGTTCACAAGGCTTGAGTGACAAAGCAGATTGGATGAGCAGAAGCCGGAACCACACACCTTCTGGTCCGGCAGGAGCCTGTGTGCAGAGAATCCGAGAGCTGGCGGAGGCCGCGGTGGGCAGCTCAAGGGAAGGAAGGAGGCAAGAGTTACGGTCCATTTCGGTTAGAGCCGCCTGTTTCTTAGCCGTGGTTTCCGTGAGTGTTTCTACCAGGAAAGAAAGGCTTTCAGCGCACAGAGGAGGTTTGTGACCGCCCACCGGGGTGACTGGTGCGCTGGAATGTGGACTCAGGCCACCGGCAAAGACGCAGGAGGACTTGGAGGGTCTCTTCAACCACTCGGTAAAGTTACTTGTGACTGAGAAGGGAAGGGGCTCAGACACCCACCGGGAGTCCAGGATTCAGGTGGAGGAGCCTTGTCCTCCTGAGGGCTGAAGAAAGATGCTATCAGTCTTGTTCTCAGCCTCGTTCAGCCTGAAAAAGCTCCAGCTCTCCGTTCTTGGGCTGTTTGATGGAAATATTCGAACAGAAGAGAAAGAGCCGCTTTTTGGGTTTTCAAATGTATGATAAGGTAGAACATATAATGTCAAATAAGATGTTCAGTAGCTTAAAGATACACCTAGAATTTTCCAGACAAAGGGAAATAACGTCTGTTTGTTGGGAGGCGGGCATAAGAGGATGGCTTGCTGAAACCAGCCATCTTGCTGTAGAGGAGGGAGAGAAGGAGGCATAAAGGGAGCAGAAAGAAGAGAAAGGCAGAGGGGAGGGGTCACATCTGCTCCCCCCGATTACCGCACCGTAGTTCTCACTTTCCAGCGCATCCCGTTTCGCTGCAGTGCTTTACCACCTGTGGGATTCATCCCATGAGTGGGTCCTGCAGCACCAAATAAAACGATCTAAGAAGGGGAGAATCTCAGATGCATCGCAAGAGGGGAGTGTCAGCATCGCTGGTAAATATCCTTTCCCTGTGTCTGTGTTCACCCATGTGTCACTGGGTCACGATGTCAGATATGCTTCTTACTGGGGCTGCAGCCGCAAGTTTGAGAAACATTCTGACGTTTCGCCTGCCTTCTGATCCTGGATCTTCCTTTTCAGTCAAAGAGAATTTTGTGTCCAAATTGGGCTCCTGTTAGACCCGAAATTGATGGTCTGGTTGATTCCGATGCTTATTAACGACTTTCCACTGTCACCTACTCAGGATCACCCCAAAGGTGCCCCGACCCCAGTGTGTCTGCCAGCTGAGGTGTAGGGAAGGGTCCTGAATTCAAAGCTGAAAACTTGGAGTTGGATCTCAGGTCAGCCACGGAAATTGTGCTTAAACTTCTCTCCAATCCAATCCAATCCAATCTTTTCCAGCCCAATTTAATTCAACAGATGGTCGTTGAATGCCTACTAGATCCTGGATATGAACCTAGATGACACTGGGCACCAGGGACCCACGAAGCTCGCGGGCTGATGATGTAGATAAGCGCAAGATCCTAAAGGACCTGTGGGCGGAAAGATGAGAGGGACTCAATCCTGCCTGTGACGTGGGGACTGAGTCTTGAGGAGTTGCCCAGTGGAGAATGCAGGACTGTTTCCAGGCACAAAGGTCTGGAGAAAGCTCCTGGCGTGGGTCCTGAAGCAGCATGCGGCCGGCTAACGCTGAGATTTCAGCAGACCACGTCAGAAAACCCGGAGTCCATAGAAGCACTGGCTGTGGGGAGGAAGTGCCTCTGGTCTGAAAGGCCTCCGTTCTCCCCCTTAGCCTCAGACCATGGCTTCAGTTCAGCCTCTGGACAACCCGTCCCTCCCCACGCCCACCCCAGGCACATCCCAGCCCCAGCCTGGCAGCACTGCAGGGCTTACCTCCTGCCAGCCATGGAGGGCAGGTGATTGCCTGAGGTACGTTTCAGCATCCCATCCTGTTAGGCGCCGATGGGTACATGGACACTCTTGCTGGGGGGACTGTTCAGGCAGGGTCTCCTTCTTGGCCACTTTCCAGACTTGCCCTCTATCCCTGGATTCCAGAGAAACAGAACAAGTAAAATAATTAATGCTGCCTAAGGCTACATACACACACTATATAACTCCAACTGTACGACCTTCTGGAAAAGGCAAAACTACGGAGATGGAAGAAACCTCTGTGGGTCCCAGGGCTTAGAGGGGAGGGAGGGATGAACTGGTGGAGCACAGAGGACTTCTAGGGCAGGGAAACAATCCTGTGACAGTGTGGTGGAGGATGCATGGCATCGTGTCTGGCAAAACCCAGAGAACTGTAAATGACGAAGAGTGAACCGCAGTGTAAACAGTGAGCTTTAGTTAATAAGGCTGTATCAGTACTGGCTCAGCAAGTGGAACAAATGTGCCACACTGATGTAGATGTTAGTAATAAGGGAAACTGTTGGGGGGTAGAGGGGTTATGTGGGGACTCCCTATACTTTCTTTTGTTAATTGAAGTATAGTTGATTTACAATGTTGTGTTAGTTTCAAGTGTACAGTAAAATGATTCAGTTATTTATATATAATATATATATAACTGAATATAATATATATATTCTTTTTAAGATTACTTCCCATTATAGGTTATTACAAGATATTGAGTATAGTTCTCTATACTGTCTATACTTTCTGATCCATTTTTCTGTAAACCAAAAACTGCTCTAAAAAATAGTCTATTAATTTAAAAGGTATATATTCACTGCCCTTAAGGAGCTCATAATCTCTTTGGTCAGCGCTAAGACAGCCATGTGTCTGAGAACATATCAGGGTGTCACTGACTATGAAGTCATGAACCCTACCCAGGAAGCCAGGGAGGCTTCAGAGGGGAAGTGGGCTGGAGGTAAGCCTGACAGTCCCTGGTGCCACCAGGCAGATGTGGGTTTGCCTGCAGATGTGCTCTGAGTGGTGGTTTATGTTCCACACTCTCTGCAGGTCAGGGGATGCTAGACTCTACGGAGATTCTCTCATTTCATCCCCGCTACAGCAGGGCAGGGCTATTACTTCTATGTTACAAGTGAAGAAGCTAAGGTTCAGAAGGGCTCGTCCAAGGCCACCCAGCTAGTGAAAGCTGAAAGAAGGGGGAGTCTGATGACCTGCCTGCCCCTGAAGCAGGGGCTCCATCAACCGGGTAGAGATTACCTCAGGGAGAGGGTTAGGGGCATTCTGTGTCACATGCAGGGGTCAGAGGGGAAAAACAAAGATTGATGGGTAAGGGCCTCAGTCAAGGTGATTTAATAAAGAAGATGGATTTCAGGAGTGGCTTGATCAGGCAAAGAGAAAGTCTGTGGAGAACCATTCTAGTCATCTAGTCAATGTGCATTCCCAATCCCAGGTTCACAGGGTCTTTCGAGCTGTCAGAACCGCCTTGGAATAAGGACATTGTAGAGATAGCGACTCCCCTCCTTCTCCGAGTGGCTTTGTGTAAATTCCGGGCAGCTGGTAAGAGCTGGGAACATTGTTTTACTGTTCCTTCTGCTCTTTCTGAGGGCGGCCCTGCCCGTCAGGTTCCCTCCAAATCCAGGTGTGAGAGCATCCCTTTGCTGAGCACACGAGGACGGCACTGCAGACAGACGCTGGGGCGGGCTCCTGGCACGTCTCCCGTCTTTTGTCGGCCTCTGTGCCCCATTCCTGGGCAAAGAGCAAGGAGAACTCCCCCCTGCTCTTCCCCTAATAGATACTTATGTGCCAAAATAATTTGATGAAGGCCAAACATTATTCTTTCATTCTAGGAAACTTAGATATCTTCTCTAATAAACTGTAGAAGACAGCAAATCCTCCTTATCCATTCTAGTCAATAAAAACAGCCACCGTTTACTGAGATTTAACCACGTGCCAGGCTCTGAGCTGGGACATTATCACACTTAATCTTCACCCCAGGGTTTCACAGATGAGGCAGACTCCTGGGAGGTTAAATCATTTCCCCAGAGCCCCAGGGCTGGAGTGGAAGACCTGGGCTCTCGGGTCTTACCTTCCACCGCAGGGGCCAGCCCATCCCCCTCGACCCCCTCCCCCCTTTACAACCAATTAAGAAACAAGGCACTGGAGACGGACAGATGAAGATAAAAATGTCAGTGATATCGCCAGTCGAGTCAGTTGGAGAATGTGACTTTAGGTCTGAGAAGAGTTCTTGCTAATATGCTCTGAGTGCCCCCTACCCCCCAGCCAGCTGTAGAGCTTCAGCCACTGGTTCCACACCCGCCCTCTACCCCCCAGGTGACAGTCACTGACTGCAGATGGCTCCCTGCAGATGTCTGGGTGGAGAGGTTAGAAAGGAGTGACTCCTCTGTGCTTCCGAAGAATTACTGTTAAATTACTAATAAATTAGGTCTGTTCTATCAAGGTAGGTGGACCAGTGGGTTCCTCCCACCAGTCAGTAACTCCTTCTTTGGTGCAGAGGGTGGGGCCTGAGGCCGGAAGTGTTACTTTGTGGAAGCTCCTCAAAGAGGAAAATCTGAATCGCGGAGAAAGGAGTTTCCTTACTGCATGAGTCAGCTCAGGCTGCCAGGACAAAATACCACAGACTGGAGGGCTTAAACAGCAGGAATTAGTTCTCACAGTTCTGGAGTCCAAGATCAAGGCACCAGCAGATTTGGTGAATGGTGAGGACCTACTTCCTGGCTTGCAGACGGCCACCTTCTTGCTGTGTCCTCTCATGGTGTGGAGAGGGAGAGAGAGAGGGCTCTGGTCTCTCTTCCTCTTCTTATAAAGGCACTAATCCCATCATGGAGCCCCACCCTCATGACCTCATCTAAGCCTTAACAGTCCCACCTCCTAAAACCATCTCATTGGTTGTTAGGCTTCAACATATGGATTTGAGGACATAATCATTCAGGCCATACACTTCCCTCCCATGTCCTGTGTGACCTTAGGTGAGTCTTTCAACTTCTCTGAACTTTGTTTTCTTCATCCATAAAACGCGAAAGATAATAGTACTCTGAGGGCTGCTTTGAGGCTTTAAGTAGAGAACGAATGTAAAGGACATAAAATGTTAAGTACTCAGAAAATGTTAACAGAGGGACACATAATTTCAGAGATGTTATTGTGTGAAAAAAAGTGCACCGTCGACTTGATGAGAGCTGGTCGTTTCTATCAGCACCGGTGTACAATGACTCTTTGGTGAGAGCTTTGCACTGACTTCTAACAGAATTATAGAGTTTAAGCTGCTGGTCAGAGTTGGGTACCAGCAGATCACTAAGAGAAAAAAGTCCAGAGAAACCTTTGGAAGTTCCCGTTGGTGGGGAAGGTAGAATGCAGATGTCAGCTTTGTTTGCAGGCCTGTGAGTGATGGCTGGTTGTGTGGGCAGAGAGAGGTCACTGTAGGAGACTTAGAGCCTTTTTACACAGAAGCCACAGTGGGATTCCCCATGGAATGATGGAGGCTGAAGGAAACTTCGAGATGGCTGGTCCGCATCACTCATTTAGCAGATTAGGAAAGTGAGAGCCAGAGAAGTCTGGTGATTTGTTCCCTCGATGCCTGTTAACTAGTGCTGGCTCTGGATGTAGAGCGCCCAGTCTCTCCATGTCAGATCCTGCTTTGTCCAATAAGTTAATAATCTAAAACCAGAAGTATCTTTTTATCTCAGGAGCTCGAGAGTCCCACTAAAACAAAACAAAACAAAAATTGTATTTTTTAAAGGACAGGAACTAATAATTATTAAGCACCTGTATGTATTATACCAGGAGTCTTATATGGGCTAAAGTTTGGTATTAATATTTTCCGACCAATCCAGAGAGGTAGGTTTCCCTTTTCACCGAAGGGGAAGCTGACACTCAGCAAGGTAAAGGGCTAGCCCAGGTCACAGGTATCAGGGAAGCAGGCCGAGTCTTTACAGCTCTAGAGAAATCCGTTTACCTGAGAGCCGGTGTTCATGTAAATATTAATAACAGTTTCCAGGCAGGCAGAAATGATCCTCTGAGACACAGATTTTTTAAAAAAGAATAATCAAAAATTTCTCCTCAGATTTGTGCTAATTTCAAAGAGCTAATTTTAAAACTATCAATTTAGCCCTCGATATTCTTTTTTTAAAAGAGTACTGAAGTAGACGTCATTTTTAACATTTGTGACGGCTTCATGCAGGTTTCATTGAAGTTATAGAAAGTAGAAATAAAATGAAATATTTGAGATTAGCCTTTCATGCTATGTCTCTAAAATTTTCCATTGCTTATTTATTTTAGGCTGGCCAAAAAGTTCGTTTGGGTTTTTCTGTAAGATGTTACAGAAATACCTGAATGAACTTTTTGGCCAGCCCAATATTATGTGTTTCTGCTCTAAAAATATATATTCACTGTCAAAAATTTGGGGGAGTTTCAAATAAAGATCCAAACAATAAAATAAAAACTTGCCCATATTTCCACCACCCAGAGATAATGACCATTAGTATTTCGGGGTGTGTGCTTTAATTAATGGGCTGTTATTTTAGAGTAGTTTTGGGTTTACAGGAAGACTGGGAGGAAAGGAGAGTTCCCATGGATTCCCTCAACTCCTCCCTGTACCACACCCCCATCCCCCCAGTTTCTCCTGTTACGGGCATCTTAACATCAGTGTGGCACATTGGTTGCGATTGATGAGCCAATATTGATACGTTATGATAAACGACTTCACATCAGGTTTCACTCTTCGTGTTGTATATTCTGTGGGTTTTGACAAACGCATAACGACATGTACCCACCGTTTGAGTATCACACAGAATAGTTTTCCACTATTTAAAAAAGCATGGGGGCTTCCCTGGTGGCGCAGTGGTTGAGAGTCTGCCTGCCAATGCAGGGGACGCGGGTTCGTGCCCCGGTCCGGGAAGATCCTACGTGCCGCGGAGCGGCTGGGCCCGTGAGCCATGGCCGCTGAGCTTGCGCGTCCGGAGCCTGTGCTCCGCAACGGGAGAGGCCACAACAGTGAGAGGCCCGCGTACCGCTTAAAAAAAAAAAAAAAAAAAAAAATTAAAAAAGCATGTATAGAATTAATTTTGACTTTTCATTGTGTAATTTAATATTTGTATATGTTCTTTAGTTTTTACATACTGGTTATTGTTCTTCTTTGATTATAAAAGTAACATGTATAATTATAGTGCTGGCAACACAGAACCACTCAGATGAATCATGTAAAAGACAGCAGTTTTTAAAGGAATGTGTTTATTTTATGAATTCCAATTAGGTGCACATCAGAAAACAATCATGGAACTTTTAGGGCCCAGATCCTTGCGCAGAAGGGTTACCTTCGTCTCTGCGGTTTTCCTGTGAATTAATGATTGCGCCATGAGCCACCCGGGAAGGGTGAGAGTTCTGAGTGTGTTCACCCAGACAGTCCACGGAAGACCTGCTCTAGGTCCTGGGGAAGTGGGTAGGTTTAAAAGTCCTCACCTAGGGTTTTTTTTTTTCTGTTGTTGTTGTTGTTTTTGCGGTACGCGGGCCTCTCACCGTTGTGGCCTCTCCCGCTGCGGAGCACAGGCTCCGGACGCGCAGGCTCAGCGGCCATGGCTCACAGGCCCAGCCGCTCCGCAGCACGTGGGACCCTCCCGGACCGGGGCACGAACCCGTGTCCACTGCATCGGCAGGCGGACTCTCAACCACTGCACCACCAGGGAAGCCCTTGTTGTTGTTGTTTTTAATACATTTATTTATATTTTTGGCTGCGTTGGGTCTTCATTGCTGCGTGCAGGCTTTAGTTGCGGCCAGCGGGGGTACTCTTGGTTGCGGTGCGCGGGCTTCTCATTGCGTTGGCTTCCCTTGTTGCGGATCATGGGCTCCAGGCGAGCGGGCTTCAGTAGACATTGTGGCACGCAGGCTCAGCAGTCGTGGCTCGAGGGCTTTAGAGCACAGGCTCAGTAGTTGTGGTGCACGAGCTTAGTTGCTCTGCGGTATGTGGGATCTTCCCGGACCAGGGCTCGAACCCGTGTCTCCTGCATTGGCAGGCGGATTCGTCACCACTGCTCCAGCAGGGAAGCCCTCACTTAGGGTTTTCTTTTTCACGAAAAGTGTAGCCAGGGCGCCTTGGCCTGGAGTGACCTCCTCCCTGGCAGAGGTGGGGCGAGGGGGCAGTGAGGAGCGGTTGCCTGGGCGACGCGACTGCTCCTCCCGCCCAGGGCCGATGCTGGGGGGTTGATGAGGTGGAGGGGAGCCGGGTTTAGGGGGGCCGGGCTGGGGGGTGCTGACATGGGGGGAATTGCTGGGGGTGGATGGAGGAGACCCCGGCTGGGGGGGGTAGCTGGGTGGACGAGGAGTTAGGGTCGGGGGAAGTGTAGCGGGGCGGGCGTGTGGTGGGGGGATATCCTCGTGGTGGAGCAGGGTGGGTTGGGAATGTCTGCGAGGTTGGTGGGGACAGCAGGGCCGCTGGAAAGGTGGCCGGGGACGGAGGGGGCTGGCGGGGAGGAGAAGAGCCGAGCCAGGGGCGTGGTCTGGGGGGGGCTGAGCTGGGGGCGTGGCTTGAGGCAAGAAGGGAGAGCCTAGCCAGAGCGGTGGCCTGGAGCCAGGTGTGGCGTGGCCTGGGGGGCGTGGAAGGAGAGCCGGGCAGGGGCGTGGCCTGGGGCCGGGCGTGGCATGGTCCGGGGGGGGGGGGGGGGGGGGAAAGGTAGCTGAGCCGGGGGCGTGGCCTGGGGCTTGGGCTAGGCCTGGGGTGTGTGTGGAAGAAGTGCAGGGTTTGGGGCGTGGCCTGGGCCGGCGGGGGCGTGGCCTGGGCCGGGCGGCAGCGGCGGGCTGGCTTCAGCGCCGCGCTCCTCCCCCGCAGCCCAGCCCGCCGCCCGCCCGGAGTTCGCGCACCCGAGCGGAGGCTCCTCCGAGAGCCCGGCGTGCTCGGATCTCCGCGGCGCCAGGACCAGCCCTGGGTCGCTGGGACGTCTTGGATCGGCAGACTTTGGAGGCTCCTTCGAGCGGGGCCGCGGTAGGTGAGGCTGCGCCGAGGCGCCGGGCGGGCGCCCGGGTGTTGGCGAGGAGCCCGAGCCCGGGAGCTGAGTTACCCTGACGCCGGCCCCGCAGCCCCAACACCGAGTTCGCTCGGTGAGCTCGCTGCGGGGCTGGGCGGCCCGAGGGCGAGGGACCCCCGGCCCCGCGCGCCTGGGGATCCCCAGACTTGACCCGCGCCCGCCGCGGGCTGCGGGCGGGACAAAGGCGCAGAGCGCCCGCGCCGCCCAGGGGATGCGCTGGAGATCTCTCCCAAAGCGAGTTTCTCTCCGGGTGCCCCGGGCCTCATCTCCCGAGAAAGGCGGGACCCTGAGTCCGGCGACCCTGAACTGGAGGGATGAGCTCCAGGGCTGGTTTGCTTCCACTTACGTTAGGCGAGGTGAGGGAGTGGGCACGCCAGCCCAGGGGGACACAGACCAGCGCTGCGCCTACGGCCGGGGAGCTCAGGTGACCTGGGCTGGAGGCCACCATCCGGCTGTGCAGTCTGAGCCCCGGCAAACCTCCCCTCCCTCCAGGTGCGGAATAAAGGCCAAACCAACCAACCGTACAAACAGAACTCTCTCCGTCATTTGCTTCCCAGCACTGGACCGTCTTGTTGATAAACAAAAGAATAACTTGAGTTTATTTAGCACTTGTTACCAAGGCCATCTAAATTCATACATCATCCGCCCCTCCTACCGCGGTTTTCCCTGCGTCTCACCTCATTTTCCGTGTTGCCTGGTGTTTTCTACCCTATTAACCCCTCCAAGTCCCCAAGTACTGTGCTCTTCTCTAACAGGTACAGAAGTTTCACCCAT